AGGGGTCACGTGAAGAAGGGTGATACAGATCATGGACTAGGATAGCCAAGCAGCTGTCCTCCAGAAGGTCTGTGTTTGTAAGGTCTTCCCTTGTATCCCAAAGGGGAAGGAGTCATTTTGATGAACTGAATGAACAATTCAGTTCAGTCTCACTTGGTGCAAAGCCAGGAGGTAATCAAGAGAGTGATAAGACTGGCTTCCTGGCTATCTTGAGGGGAAGAAGGCGAAGGAATTTGGGTAGAATGAGATCAAGGAGCAATTAAATCTCCACATCCATGAACTTGGTTCCATATTCAGACACCCTGACTCATCCATCTGCATGTTTCTCTGTGCCTCTTTGTGTCTCTGTCTCTCATACACACATTCTGCTTTCCTCTGCATTTCAATCTTTGGCAAGTTAAGCTCACTTCAACTGGAGTCAAGACACCCATCACATTTTTAGGCTTACATATAATAATTTTGCAAGCTTGCAGGGGAGAAATGCATGCTTTTCCCCCTGGTGGTGCTAGCATAATTCTCGGCATGATGCTTTCTGACTAATTGGCCTGGCATAGGCAGTGGGCCCCTTCTAAACCAATCATTGGCTTGGGTCAGGAGCCAGGTGTTGGGGTCAGCCCCACCCAACCAAGTGACGTACTGAGGCTGGATCCCACTGAGACCTTCTAAGAAGCCTGAGACTCTTAGAAGGGGGAAGCCTTTATCCAAAAACTCTAGTCTCCCATTGGATCGAGGGATGCTCCATGAGGCATTAACTCCTCCTCCCCACGAGAAACAGAAGCAACAGGAGATAGATATATGATAGGGTAGAAAGGTTTGTCTTAAGGAATTGGCTCATGGGACTGTGGAACTCAGGGCATCCAAAATCTGATGAGGGAGGCTAGCAGGCTGGCAGCTCAGTAAGCACTGCAGTTTGAGTCCGAAGGCCATCTGCTGGCAGAATTCCTTCCTGCTCAGAGGAGAGTCAGTCTTTTTGTCTTAGACCTTCAGCTGATGGATGAGGCCCCCTTGCATTAGGGAGAGCGCTGTGCTTCACTCAGAGTTCACTGATTTAATGTTAACCTCATCCAAAGAGTAACTTCACAGAAACAGCCAGAATGATGTTTAACCAAATATCTGGGCACCACGGCCTGGCCAAGTTGACGCACAAAGTTAACCAGGACACTCCCCCACACCTACATCTTGCATATGCCTGAGTGCCAAGGAGATATTTTCGGTGCAAAAAGCTTCCAGAAGTGCTGGGAGAAGCCGAGACTGGAGTCTGCTGAAGAGAAAGAGGTATTTGAACCAAAGCAAGTAGCTCCATTTGTCTAAATTTACATTTAGAAACTAAAAAGGAGTCTGTATACCAATAATTGTTACATAAAACCAGGAAGAAACTGGATTTTTCTAATGACATGTTTGAGCCAAACTAAAATCAATCATTCATTTTTGGTAAAACTAGACTACTTCTAAAAGAATCCTTAAGTTTTTAGCCAGTTAACTTTAGCCATTTGATTCAATGTGAAAAAGAAAAAAGTGTGTGCTCCCCTCAGGAAATATTTTCCCAAACTGATGGTAATGGAAGAAAACAAAACCAAAACCTTTTACTTTAACAATTAAAAAGCATGAATTCCTCCTTTCCTAGAAATTGGAGAGATCCCAGAATTCTTGGGCTATTTCTTACTGACTAAGAAGTGAAACATCTTCAGAGACTCCAAATGGCACTAGACCATGTTGATGAAGAGTTTTCATACACATACAGGTTAAATAATTCCTTATCTGCAATTCTGTTTTAGGGGTTGGGGGGTGGAGGGGAGATTTATTTAGGCTTTCAAATGAATTCAGCCAACTTGCTTAATCAAAGATGCTTAAGACTTACAACATATAAAATGAGGTTGTTGGGGTTTTTTTTTTAAAGATAAGAGATGATTTAAAAATATTTAGTGCTTCAGAGAAGGCACATAGTGAATCTGTGGCATCTTGCTACACTCATGGACAGTGACTGCATTGGGGTATGGGTGGGGACTTGATAATATGGGTAAATGTAGTAACCACATTGTTTTTTCATGTGAAACCTTCATAAGAGTGTGTATCAATCATACCTTAATAAAAAATTTAAAAAATATATTTGGTGCTTGTTTCTACTTACACGAGGTACCTACAATAGCCCTATTTGTAGAGACAGGAGCTTGGATGGTAGTTCTAGAGATGAATGGTGTTGATGGTTGCACAACAGTATGAATGTACTTAATGCTACTTCTTGAACTTAAAAATGGTTAAAATGGTAAGCTTTATATCGTATGTATTTTACCACCAAAAAAAGCTACTGCAGAAACATAGCTATCAAGAGTGATTCAGGGGGTTACACCCCCTCCTTGGCAATGAACAATGAGCTTGATGATTATGCGTGACTGACTATAAAAATCAACAGCTTCAAGGAGTCAAGGAATATTCTGGGGTTTTCACTGTAAAATAGAAATCCATTTGCTGACATGCTGACAGAATAACTGAGAATGTGATTAAAAGAATACTCTTAAGGATAAGAGGTCAAAAATTTGGCCTGTGCCTTCTGTTAGCAATGAGAAGCATGTAGAGCTGGAAAAGAATTTCACAGAGCAGGGATCCTGTACAATTTCTCCTTAAAAGCCACTTTTAAAAAGTAGTAGATAATCATGATCTAATTAGAAAAGATACTGGGTTTTTTTGTTACCTTGGGCACAATCTATGTGCAATCCATTCCCTGAGTTTTTAAATTGTCACCCCTCCCTTATGCATTATGTTATTGTTTTAACTCTCATACACTGATTATTTTAACTCATGAAGTACTTTAAATCAAAACCTTTCTAATTTAAAAAGATATGAAATTCCCAAACATAAGTCTACCTAAATAAGAAAGTTTGTTTTATTTCCTCTGATACTTAGCTTAATTTAGGAGCTTACACATAACAAATGAGTGCATTATTAAGAGTTATACATAAAATATCCAAATATAAAATAATTATAAAATAGCCAAATTTAATTATAAATAGTCAGGCAAATAGAAAATAAGTATTACTGATATGAAGTATCTACATGACAATGAAAGTATATAATATATGCAAAATTCTTAAGACAGGGTCTAGCTCTAATAAGTGCTCAATAAAAGTTGGTTTTTATTGACGATATTGGTATCTTTAATTCACTTCAATTTAAGTCCATGAAATATGTAACAAATTCTTAGTGTATTTTTACTAGGCAGAAGTCATCTTGCTAGGATGTTTGGGGGAACAGAACATTGAAGGAGAGAAACATCAAGTCTTCTGGGGGTGAGGGATTGGAGAAAGCATTACATAAACAATAAAGCACTCCACACAAGAGAAGAACTCAGCGTTATGGGGAGTCAGGTGGATCAGGGCAAATGCACAGAGAAAGAGGCAATTTTCCGGGACCTTGAAGAATGGGTGGGATTCCCACTGGTAGTATGAGAGAGGGAGGTGGGGCACATTTCAGGTGGAGGGAGAGAAGCAGGGCACAGGTGCAGAGAGTGAGGGGTGGGTGCACAAACAGGATTATAGGGTTCACTTGGAACCCGAGGTGTGGTGTCAGTTCTTGGAGGGCACCCTAGAAAGGCTGGTTGGAGCCAGAGTACAGAATTCTCAGATTTTGAGAGAAAGGGACCCTTTGAAGGTGTTTGTACATGAAAGAACATGACCAGAGGAAGTTTTAGAAAGATTGATCTCAAAGAATTCTGCTTCTACTGTGTTACAATAAAGAGGAAAATCTCTTTCCTATAGCAAAATGGTTAGTTCTCACATCACAGATGGGGTCACTGGCTGCCTGAGGCACAGTCCCCGCATAGTAAGGTAATAAACCCTTGGTTTTCAGACTTGAAGTCCAGTATGTTTTCTATTTTGGTAGTACCTTGAAAGATCTTGCCACTACTGTTGTACCGAAGAAACCTGTAGGCAAGATGTCCCAGTGGCTCCTGGGCAGGCTTCCTGATGGAGCTGGAGAGACAGTGTGTAGGGTCACATCCCTTTGATGCCTTCTGAGAGTGCCAGCCCACAAGGTCTCTCTTGACACTGAGCTGTGCCACTTTGCAGGAGGAAAGATGGAGAAAAAGAAAACCATTCCTCTAGCCATCTTCAATATGCCCAATCTGAATTTTTCTTCCTTCAGTGATGTGCTGGAGCTTCTCTGCTGGACTCCTAGTCTTCCAAAACGGCACTGTCCTCAGTGAGCAGTGGTCAAAATTGGTGTTCTTTAGGGGGAAGACAGTAGAAAACTATTCTACCACTTTGCTGACATCACTCTAGCAGGTTGCCTTTTAAAGAATGAGAATGCCCCTGTAAGATTAATTTCTCTTCATTCATTCACACTCTGCAGAGAATTATATTTTCTGACTATAAAATCTGAGCAACTCAGGGCATTTTCTTTAGAATCAAACATCAGATTGATGGATATCAGGGATGGAGATCACTCAACTGATGCATAAATTCAGTCTGACTTAAACCAGTGTGACTATGAAGAAATGAGCTTTTTTGCTGTCTCTGAAGGGAATTCCAAGAATGGGAGGCCAAAGAACATTTCTGAAAACAGCACTATTTTTTTTATTAAGGTATCATTGATATACCGTCTTATGAAGATTTCACATGAGCAACATTGTGTTTACTACACTCCCCCCTATTATCACGTTCCCACCACATACCCCATCACAGTCACTGCCAATCAGTGTAGTAAGATGCTCTAGAGTCACTGCTTGTATTCTCTGTGCTATACTTTCTTTTTCGCCCATGTTATGAGTGCAATCATAATACCCTTTAATCCTCTTCTCCCTCCCCATCCCCTTTCCTTTTGGTAACCACTAGTCCATTCTTGGATTCAAAAACAGCACTATTAAATTAAATTAAATACATGACCTCCTACTGAACCTGCATGGAAGGTCAGTCCTGTTTTGGTTTTTCTCAAATTTACAAGTTTGTTTTCAAAACTGAGTCTCATTCTTTCATGAAACATTTATAACAGAGGTTGCTGATGCTCACCAATTATCAAACTGTCCTCTCTCCTTCCTGGTCACACAGCCAGATTACACCTCCCAAGTTCCTCTTGTCTGAGGTGGTCATGCAGCTAATGTTGGCCAGTGGAATGTGGTCCCTGATCCCTCCTTGAATTCTCCATGTGTCCTTCTTTCCTTGTCTGTTGGTTGGATGCAAAGAATCTTCTGAAGACTTCGGGGCTCTAGAGGATGGAGGGGCCACAAGATGAATGAAGCCTGAATCCTTGAATGACTACATGGAGCAGAGCCCACTGCCTCCCAGCAAACTGTATTGGGTTGTGACTCTTTTTTTGGTTAAGCCAATTAGATTTGGCTACTGTGTATTATGGCAGTGAGCCTCTCCTGACTGATATACACTGTATCTGATGTACCTGCTAAGACTTTATAGGTGACACCTGTACCGTTTCTGAACCCCAAATCTCTAGAACACTGGACATAGCTGTTTTTTCAGGATTTACTTAAGATTAGTGTTATGCTCTTTTAGTCCCCCAGGCAAATCACTCCTCTTAATTCAGCTTCTGTTCCACTGTCAATCTGTTCAACCACTTTTGCAGGAGACTTCTGTGAGGACAGTCAGCTGCATTGCTGATAAGAAGCTTTGACTGTCCAGAATTCACTGCTTTACAGTTTGTCATCCCTGTCTTCAACAGCTCTGTCAACAGACCTTAGAGCCTTCCTGCCTCCCCACCAAGTGCCAGAACATTTCCCACATTGTCTTGAATATGTGCTTTGAGATTGTGAACTGTCAGCACCCAGTAGAGCCTGACCTTCAGTGCCAGAACTTTCGATAACATAACCAGCCCACTGAGCTCTCAGAGAATGAGAAATCTATTTTAATATCATCCTCAAGTTCCTTTTTGTGTCCTGAGGGAGCTATATGCATAAATGCATTCTATTTGTGTTGTGGAATGAGTCAGAGTGCAAACCAGTAATTTGACACAAGGAACCAAATTTTCATGTATTAGGCTCAAAAACCCTCAGCAGACATAGTAAATGAATAAATTTTTCTGGCTGCTCAAAACTCACCAAATTTATATTTACATGGACTTAGCTACCTAGATTTACCAGCTTAGCAACAATGTAAAGTGGACAGAGGTCTGGTTATCATCTGTACATCTCTTGGTGGTGTTCTGAAGCAAAGACCAGGTCAGTCAGATAACTGTTTGTAAATGCAGGCTGTGATCTGGGAGTCAGCTGCTGACAATGGTGGTGAGTAAAAATGTTTTGTAGTATTCTGCTTTCAGCAAAAATGTTTGCAGTTGTATAAAAATCAAAGGAGCTGGGCATGTATTTTGGTTGAAAAGAAACACTTGAGAACCATTAATCTAAATAGACCTGCATTTTTTGAGATTTAACATTCAGACACCTCTGTAAATGCATTAATTTGAATTGTTTGTTGCTTTCTCAGAAACTACATTCCTTTTATGTGTAACAGTGACAGATGGCATGGCCTGAAGTCATCTAAGAGATGTTCATAGTTCAGTCTTCTCAAGTGACAATCACATACCTAATAAATGCATAGAACTAGAAATAAAATTAAGATTTCCAAGTAAAAAGTGGTGAGATTGCCAAAGGAAGAGGCATTATTTTTCTAATAGTCACAAACATAGGCAAAATCACACCTCTGAAGATTAAATTGGTGCTAGAAGGAACACGATTATAAAAGATCTTTGTAAGCTATAAAGTACTATATCAAGTGAAGGTTATCACTGCTTCTTTATTTTTTATTTTTTATTTTTTATTTTTTATTAAGGTATTATTGATATACACTCTTATGAAGGTTTCATATGAAAAAACAATGTGGTTACTACATTTACCCATATTATCAAGTCCCCACCCATACCCCAATGCAGTCACTTTCTATCAGTGCAGCAAGATGCCACAGATCCACTATATGCCTTCTCTGTGCTACACAGTTCTCCCCGTATCACTGCTTCTTTTACTACAAACGTTTATTGCACGTCTCTAAAATGCCAGGCCCTGTTCTTAGTCATTGGGATGCATCAGCAAACAACTCAAAGTCCATGATACATCTATTCAAGTGTTGGACAGACAATATATAAGAGATTCCAAATATAAGGTCAGGCAGTGACTGATAATGCTTTAATTAAAATAAAGCAAGGTAAGTGTATAGAGTTACAGATGCTGATAATTACATGGTATGGTCAGGGGAGGCCTCTCTGAGGAGATGGCAACAGACAGGAGCCCTGAGAGACGGGACAAAGTGGGCCATGTGGAGATGCAATGGAAGAGGGTAGAGATGTGCACACAGAACGTTCAGCATACAGATGTTCCTCACAACCATGGACTTAGATGAAATTATCTAGAGAGGGAATATTGAGAGAATCTAGACAGACAAGAGGAGAGGGGCACCCCAGGTCACTCCCTCATTTAGAGGTAGCAGAGGAAGGAGAACCAGCAATGGAGACCAAGAAGCAACAAATGAGATGGGAGGAAAGCCCAGAGGGTGTGACATCCCTGAAGCCAAATGAAGAAAGTGGTAGAAGGGGGAACCTTGAGCAGGTGGTTATCCATACAAAAACAAACGTTATAGTTAAATCTCCACCTTACCTGCATACAAAAACAGGTTCCCCTGGGATTAAAGACCTACATGTGTAAAGCAAAACTTAGCAACTTTTTAAAGGACTGTAGGTGAATATTTTTATGACCTCGGTCAATGGAAGTATGTCTTTAAAAAGCAATAAAGCAATACATAAACAGCACAAACCACAGAGGGGGAAAAATGAATAAATTTTAAATTTCTGTTCATTAGAAAACCAAATTAAAAAGTAAAAGACAAAGCACAAACTGGGAAGAGATATTTGCAGCACATATAATCACCAGAAACTGCTTGATAATTCTGAATATATAAAGGACTCCTACAAATTAGTAAGACAAAGACACTTAACCCAATAGAAAAATGGGAAGATGACATAAATAGGCATTTCTCATTAGAGGAAGCCCGAATGGGCAATAAACATATGAAAAGATGTTCAACCTCATTAGTAATTTGGAAAAATGCACATTTTAATCTTCAGAAGGTACCATTTTATATCCAGCAGATGGGCATAAATTTTAAAATCTGACAGTAGCAATTATCAACAAGAATATAGAGCATGGGAAATATTATTCACTTCTGGTGGGAGTATAAATTGGTAAACCACTTTGGGGTAATTAGCTGAGAATTTTGGTATTAGCTGAGAAATCTGAAGATGCGCATGCCCTATGGCCCAGCAGTCTTTCTCCAGAGAGACTTGCCCATATTGACCAGGAAGCCTGAACAAGAATGATCGTAGCAGCACTGTTTGTGATAGCAAAAAATAAAATGAAATACTATTGCAATAACACTAAAGTCATTAACAAGAAGAAAATAGATAAATAAGCTGTGACATAGTCATTGTGGTAGCCAGCCTCCAAGATGGCCTCTGATGTCACTCCTGGCATTCATGCACTTCATGTAATCCCCTCCCCCACTGAATAGAACTCACCTGAATAATGTGAGAATTTATGAATTTATGTAAAGTTCATAAAACTGAAACTAAATAATACTCAAAAGTTATATACATATATATTGTGAAAGGATATAGAATAGAAAAGAATATAAAGCACAAAATTCAGGACAGTGGTCACATCCAGGAGGGGGAAGGAATAAGCAAGCAGAGAAAGATACACGAGTTTCTAGTGGAAATGTTCTACTTTTTAAGCTGACCGGTGGGTACACTGGTGTTTATTATATTAATATTAAAATCTTTTGAATATATGAAACAGTTGTTTCAGAAGGAAGAGAATCTGAAAAGAAAGGAAAGGAGAGAGGACTTTAAGGTCAAAGAAGTAATCAAACAGTGTACCTGTTTCACAATTTTGTCTTCATTCCTGTACTAAGATGGTTTTGATGTCTTCCCAAACCAATATTCTGACCTTAATTAAGATCACATGGGTCTGCGTGCTCTATTCTCTCTCACTGAAGGCTGCTGCCCACCCAGCCTTGCTCCTGTCTATTCTGTGAATCAGATCAAGGTACAGTTCTGTATTCTCATCTGAGGCCAACACCTTCACTTTTTAACTGTATCTCTTCCCAGACTCAATCTCCCACAATCTGATCTGTTAATGAAATCACACTGAAGTATAAGTTAGCAAATTCACTTCCTTTGGGGGAAATTTGGGGTTTTAATTCAGTTCTAGAGTTCAAATTCTGATTTGGAATCTCTATGTCTCTCCCCCCTCTAAGACTGATTATTTTGTGGCTCCATGAATTTGAAGTCCTTGGGACAAGTTAGTGGGCATTTTCTCAACCTGGAAGGCAGATACTAAAATTATACTCTAAATAAGCATGAGACTGCTTATGAGGGAGCCGCCTTTCTCTTACTGTGTAAGTGTAGTTGTGTGTGTGTAACGTATGTCATGTGCAAGGTATTATACAGTTGGACCAGCGCTCTACACTCAGGAGCTGCATGTAGAATGGAAGGTAGGGAAAGAAACTGAATCTTTTCATGATGTAAAATACCGCGGGTAAGGGTAAATCTTTCACACCAGAAACTAGAATTAAGAGACAGGTCCTAAGTGATGAAAAGAGCCCTTTTCTTTTGGACTTAATTACAGCAAAGTTGAGGCGTCCAGGAGCAACTTAGAGGTGGGAAATCAGGGGGCACCATCTAGAGAGGCAGGCCAGGAGCACTCCTCTGGGGACCCCAGGTGCAAAGGGAATGGACCACAAGCCTTGTGGATCCAAGGAAAGCTATGGTGACATTGAGTTTATTTCTGAGACAGACTTCACTTATATACTTCACATTCCCTGGGCTGAGTTACCTGCTCATCTCCACTGTCATCCGGTTAAGTCTTGCTAGGTCTAGCCTGGCTCAGCAGTAATGGTATCTAACTTTACTGAGCATGTACTATGTGCCAGAAGCTGTATAAAGTCACTTGACAATGTGAGTCACCCCCATCAAGGATTAGGGCCACTCAAAAGGCAGAATTAAACCTTTAGGTCAGCCACCATGGTGCACCGGATTCTAATTCTAGAACTTCTAATTCTTGGAAGCACTGGGGCTTCCTTACTCAGGGGATGTGAAGTCCGAACAGGAGAGAATATTGAATCTGAAAGTTGATAGAAACAAATAAGGTCTGAACTAGGAAAAACTGTGGCAGGAAAAGGAAGGCCCATGAAATGTATTGAAAAGAAACA